GAAAACATGCCCATGAAATTAAAAATAAATCCAGAGATCATAAGTGACGAACAAGCCCCCCAAACACATCCCCCCATGCGCTCTGTAGCCCACACGGTGTAGTGCTGTCCTAGGGGGAGACAGCCGGAGAGCGAAACCGACTAGGAATGTAAATGAAACCAACCAGGCAATTTTCATTGCAGTGGGTCAGTTCGGGAGCTCTGACCCCATTTCCACTCAAGTCCCGGCTCCCTTTGGAGTCAGTGGCAGTTTTGCAAAGTTGAGAGCTTCCAGATTGGGCCTAAAGTTTGGGCAGGTTTTTAGAAGGCGCCTCAGGTCCCCGACAGGCCAGGACGGTCATTTGCCCCCCACAATATGGGAAGCAAAACAGATCCCATTAGAGACCAAGTGATGGGGAAGACGTGGCAGCTGATGTGAATTCTGCTGGCACCAGGCAGGGGGCAAGAGACGAAGCAGGAGTATCCTAGCATAGGTCTCATTGCTGTGCTGATTGCGCTCCTCTTGGCTTCCATGGGAGCTTTGCCACTGACTTCCGGTAGGATCCAGCCCGGTTGTCAGAGGAGGACGCTGGGGATAATGGCAGAAGCAGAGAGAGCAGCCGAATGCCCGTATAACATGCTTGCAAAGTGTGTGTCCCGTCCCTCAGAGGCTGGTCCACACAGAGGATAACAGCCTGCTATTGCTACCAGCCAAGAGAGAGGTTAACGTTTAGCTCATGTGGTAGAGGTCTGGGCTCTGGGTTCTAGGTTCAAGCCCTGCTGATAACCGGGTGGTGGGAGTCCCCACTGTTCTTTCCTGCTCCCAGGAAGGACAGACTAAGCTCCAGGCAGCCGCTTGTAACTTTCCCTCTCAGATACTAGAAGCTGGTACATTTATAATCTACCTGCAGAGGCCGCCCTCCCCGGGTGGACACACATCTATCAACGCACTTGTATGACCCCTGTCATCAGAGTATCTGAGCCCCTCACAATCCATAGTGTATTTATGCTCACAGCACCATTGGGAGCTACTGCCCCAGTTGTACAGCTGGGGAACTGAAAAAATTAATGGAGATATCCTAGCTCCTAGAACTGGAAAGGACCTTGAGTCCAACCCCCTGCCTTCATTAGCAAGACCAAGTACTGATTTTGCCCCAGATCCCTAAGTGGCCCCCTCAAGAATTGAACTCACAACCCTGGGTTTAAGCAGACCAGTGCTCAAACCACTGAGCTAGCCCTGCCCCCAACTGAGTCAGAGAGAGGTTAAGAGACTTGCCCATGGTGACCCAGTGTGCATGTGGCAGAGCTGGGAAATGAGCTCAGCTCTCTCTTATCCCCAGCCAGGGAACTAATCACTCCCCCATCCTTCCTGCCTCAGGAAAAGCAGGGCGATTTCTCCCTTCCTGCCGCAGGCCCGACTCCCCTCTCACACACAGCAGTGCAAATCAGGAGCAACTCCCGTCAGCGCCGCAGTTCCAGTGGTGTGAGGTCAGGCCCGGTCTCTCTTGTGTAGGCAAGTAACAACACCTGTGTGTGCAGATAATGCCTGGAGGAGCCTCCTCCATACACCCGGGCGTATCATGCTTCAGTTGCCTCTCAAGACCCAACTAAGTCAGCCTGGTTGGCTTTAATAATAATTTAATTTGAATAATGCAAAGTACTCCACTTAGGAAGGAAAGTACTCAGAAGTACTCCACTTAGGAAGGAAGGATCAGTTGCACACATACAAAATGGGAAATGACTGCCTAGGAAGGAGTACTGCGGAAAGGGATCTGGGGATCATAGTGGATCACAAGCTAAATATGAGTCAACAGTGTAACGCTGTTGACAAAAAAAAAAAAGCAAACATCGTTCTGGGATGTATGAGCAGGAGTGTTGCAAGCAAGACACGAGAAGTAATTCTTCCGCTCTACTCCGCGCCAATTAGGCCTCAACTGGAGTCTTGTGTCCAGTTCTGGGTGCCACATTTCAGGAAGGATGTGGACAAATTGGAGAAAGTCCAGAGAAGAGCAACAAAAATGATTAAAGGTCTAGAAAACATAACCTCTGAGGGAAGATTGAAAAAAGTGGAGTTTGTTTAGTCTGGAGAAAGGAAGACTGAGCGGGGACATGATAACAGTTTTCAAGGCGGAGGGAGAAAAATTGTTCTTCTTAACCTCTGAGGATAGGACAAGAAGCAATGGGCTTAAACTGCAGCAAGGACAGTTTAGGTTGGACATTAGGAAAAACTTCCTGTCAGAGTGGTTAAACACTGGAATACATTGCCCAGGGAGGTAGTGAAATCTCCATCACTGAGGATTTTTAAGAGCAGGTTGGACAAACACCTGTCACAGATGGTCTAAATAATACTTAGTCCTGCCTTGAGTGCAGGGGACTGGACTCTCAAGGTCCCTTCCAGTTCTATGATTCTAATCCCCGTCATCCTTCTCTAGCATCACAAGATCTCACAGCCCTTTACAAATATTACTCACTTAATCTACATAGCTGTGCCACAAGGCTGGACTGTATTAGCCTCATTTTACAGGTGGGGAAACTGAGGCAGAAACGTAGCCCCAGAAGCCCTGGTGGGTTCCCAGTCTCTTGTGCTAACCACTGGACCCTACAGCCCTTACCAAGCTGTAAATAGCACCCAGGAGTCCTAATTTCAGGCCCCCTGCTCTAATCACTAGACCCCACTTCCCCAAGCTGTGAATCAAACCCAGGAATCCTGGTTCCTAGCCTGCTGTCCAGCCCACTAGACAATGCTCCCACCTACAACAGGTGCTGTCTGCAAGGGTGGGTTTTTGCAGCCTACGTGCTAGTTTTTCTTGCTGAAAGAGAAACCCCTTTAGACATGCCCAGGAGTTTCCCAAAGCATCAAGCCTGGATTTGCCGAGGCCTCCTACGGCCAGGTATCCAGCCCACAGCAACGTTCTCAACCCTCAAAAACAGGGGCTTCTAGTTCTAGCCCATCGGCTACTCAGCGGGCTGGCGCTCCTCTGTCACCTGGAACAGGGGGCTCTCACGTTAACAGGCATTAAAGCCAACAGGAGCTGCAGGTGCTTATGGCCTGGCGCCAAGATCTTGGGCCATGGAAATGCTCCCAGGACATTCTCAGCCAGGGCGTGGCCGGGATCTGAGGAATCGATGGGTATTGAAGTTTACAGACTGTCCACACACTCCCCCTAGCCCAGCCTGGCTTCCCCACACCAGCTCACAACCATTCCCTGCAGCAATTCCTGCCCTGAGAGCCTGGGATGAAAATCACCATCAACTCCTGCCATCCAGTGCTCTGACCTCTCTCCCTGCAGTGAACCTCCGTGGCCCTGCAAATGTTGCCAACTCCCCATAGCGAGTCCTCCTGCCCCACTGCACGTGGTGCCCCCTGGTAGAAGGTGTCAAGACTGGGGTAGCTTGGAGCGCCCCCGGCTTCTAATTAACCTGTCCTGCTCCCGACACCGCCTCATACTAGCAGAGGCTGAGAGTGGAGAATCTGGGAGCTCCCCCTGACACATCTCTCCAGCCCCACGCCACACAGCGCCTCCTGTTGGGAGAGGCTGGGAATGGAGTAGCTGGGGGCTCCCCATGTAGCCAGCTCTCCTGCAGAGAATCTGTGTTCAGGCCTCAGAGATGCATCTCAAATCTCAAATGCCTCCCCAGGATCCAGCTTTTTTCCCCACACCAGCCACTGACCCAGATTAGCCGCCTCCTGGTTCCTTTGATAGCTTCGAGGGAAGAATCAAAGGTTGACAATGGAGGGAGGGTGGCCAGAGGAAGCCTGGAGACACCCCCTCTTGCTGCAGGCCTGGCGGGAGCAGACGGCTGGGACCTGTTGAGCACCTGGCATCTGGCTCCCAGATGGTCAGTCACCGGTGCTGAGGAGGGGCCGCCCTGGAGGAGACGGGAGCCCTGCAGAATTCCACTGGTGAGCCGGGCGCTGCTCGCCAAGGGCTGCCAGCTCCCGCCGGTGAACCACGGCAGGACGGGCACTGATCCGCCACTGCCTCAGGAAAACCTGTTGCTCGTCCTGCCCAGGGCTGAGACCTGAGCAGCTGAGGCAGGGGAGGGGAGGTGCTCGTTAGAACAAACACAGCAGCACCAGCCACTCCGGCCAGTTACCCGGAGCGCACCGAGCCGCGGCAGACCCGCTGCGTCCCCTCCCAGGTGATTACGCCTGGAGCCAGCGGTTCCGAGGGGACGACGCTGCTGGAGTCCTGGGGGAAAGCACAATTCCCAGGCCCATTCGGGGCCGCTCGGTGCCAGGCCAAGTCCCTCCGTGGCCTGATCTCGCTGCTTCTCCCCCCTCCCTCCACCTGTTGTCTTTCTAAACATGAAGCTCTTTGCAGCAGGCACCCCTGTGTCCCTATGGGATCGCCCAGCCCCCGACTCAGCACGGCCCTGATCCTGAGCCTGGTTCTCCGGGCCCTGCTTCCACACGCAAACAATAAGGTCAGCATCGCTACACCACAGAGGCCCTGACTACGGAGAGGCAGGGCACGCTCGGATTTCTGAGTCACTGCAAAATATCCAGGCGAGGGGGGGCGTCTGCACCCTCACATGCGCCAACCCCCACCCACCCGTGATCACGCCGACCGGTGGCAACACGTCAGACAGGCCCTCCCGCTCCTTCTCCCCAAGCCGCAAATGCCAAGGGCCACGGTTAGAGAGGAAGACCCCACCACGCTCCCCACCTCCCCCTGCACGCAGCCCCCTGGCTCCCCGGCCTCGTGAAGCCCCAAGCTGTCCCCTTGGTGAGCAGGACCAGCAGGGGCAAGGGGGGGTTGTATGCAGGTGGAGGGGGAAGCCAGCCCCGCTAGGCCAGCTCCCGAGAAGAGGCCGGGGTAGCGTCAGCAGCAGATGAGCCCTGAATCCAACCTCAGCGGGATGGAGCGGGGGGGAAATAGGGCGGTTGGCTTAGTGGGGAGGGGAGATGCTATGGTGCAGAAGGCTAGATAAGTACCTAGACAGACAGATGGCTGGATGCACCCGGTCTCCCCACAGCCTCCAACACATGCCCGGGGCAAGGGGAAAAGCGGTACTTACTCCATTTTCCCAGCCTCTGCAATCCCCTGGCTGCCTCACCCTCTGGCTCGCAGCCCTGCACGGATCCAGGCGAAGCTCTGGAGGGAAAGGCAAACGCCAGCCCTGGGCGAGTCCCCCCCTCGCTGTCTCTCCGCTCACGGGCAGCAGGCTGTGGGAGAGGTGGCGAGCGGCTGGTGGCCGTGCAGCATCCCCAGCTGTGTTATTGTCCTGAGTGCGACTGGCTGGCGGTGGATGGCTGAGCTGGGGATGTGAAGGGATTTTTTTTTTCCTCCCCTTCCCCTTCTCCAGCATCCTAACAGCACCTTCTGCTGGGCGTCGCCTGTCACTGCCGCTGCTCGGAGAGTCTCCAGGAACAGAAGGCTCAGTGGAGACCTTGAGCAGCGCCTGGACGCGTTCAATAAGGAGGCTGCATCCCTTCCAAGTGCCTGACCGCTGGGGAGCACCAACCCAGACCTAGCATCCTGCCAACCGGCCGGGGCAGGGTCTGGGATGGACTCCCTGAGTTAGTAGGACTTATTCCCCTCCTGCCCCCCGATTCCATTTCCTTAACAGACGTGTGTCTCCAAATTCCTAAGCAAGCTTCACTTGACAGCCTGCAGGTCCCGGCCTTGACTAAGCACGGCGCAGAACCAGCCTGCTCGGTCATACACACTGCAGGGAGAGGGGAGGGAAGGCGGGACTGGGGCATGATAAGCCTATTGGGTTTATTTCGATTTCTTTACAATGACCGCAGCCACCGTTCCGAGCTCGACTGGGAAATGCGGTGTGGCGTTCTGAAATGAAAGTCGAGAGCACCTTGCCTCCCCAGCGTGCTTTACCAGCCCTATCCGGACAGTGCTAGAAATGCAGCCACCTCTGGGGTGGCGAAACAGGAGCTGAGAAGGAACCCAGCGCACTGCACCATAGCCGTACAAAGTCAGAAATGCAGCCACCTCTGGGGTGGAGAAACAGGAGCTGAGAAGGAACCCAGCGCACTGCACCATATCCGTACAAAGTCAGAAATGCAGCCACCTCTGGGGTGGAGAAACAGGAGCTGAGAAGGAACCCAGCGCACTGCACCATATCCGTACAAAGTCAGAAATGCAGCCACCTCTGGGGTGGCAGGAAGGTAGCCAAACCCTTGCACAACAGAGGGGGGCGTGAGGGGAAATTTGGGTTAAGCAAATAGGGCGAAGCGAAGCTCTCACCCAACGTTCAGTTCCTCACTGGGGCTCAGAAGAGCTGGGCTGCATTTCTGACCTTGCTAGGTTCCCTGCATAGCCTTGAGAGAGGCTCTTCCCTTTTCTGGGCCTCAGCGTCTCTGTATGGAAACCAGGGATAATAATCAGGGCCTAGGACAACGTGGCCCTGAGCTCAGTTCGGGTCTCTAGGCGCAGCTATTATACCAATAATCATCCAAAAAACCATTCCACGGGAGGGAGGAGTTGACCCTGTTGGGATGTGAACCATGTGAACCGTGAGCAATTGAAAATAAATGCTTAGACCATAATGCCACCGGCAATGAATAAGGGAAGCAGTGTGGTCTAGTGGACAGAACGCTGGGCTGGGCCTCAAGAAATGGAGGGTTTATTCCCTGCTCTGCTACTGAAGACCTCAAGGGCTGATATGTGGAGTGGGCTTTGGAATTTCTTCAACTACAGGCGAGTCTCATCTTACACGCGTTTAACATGCACGAATTCAGCTTGCGCGGTTGGTAAAAACAAAACAAAAAAGAGAAAAATAACCATTTAAATACTGTACCTGAAGTGCGGGCGATTCCGCCTGCCATTACACTCCATGTCATTTTGACTGTATGCGATTTTCGCTTTACGCGCTGACAGCGGAATGTAACCCCAGCGTAAGATGAGACTCGCCTGTATACAAAAAGGAGCTGAAATTTACATCCCACACGAGGGGCAAAAATTGCAGGGAAAGTCTCCAGACCCAGCTGGATGAAGAACCGCAGTAAAAAGGTTATTAGGGGTAAGCAGAGAGCCTGTAGGGAGTGAAGGAAGGATTGAGCAGCAAAGAAAGCAACATTTTGGAGTTAGCAAACGGAGGGATAAAGTGCGACTTGTTAGAAGTCAAGCTGAATTAGCGCTTGCCAAGGAAATGAATATAAACAAGAAGAGGTTTTTTTAGTTATAGAAATAAAAAAAGAAGGCAGGCTGAGGTTGGGCCCTGTGCAGTGTGGATGGGAAGGAGATTAAAGATAACCTAGGTATGGCCTCAAAACTCAAATGAATTCTTTGCATGGTTTTCAAAAAGGATGAGAACATGGACCACAGGCATGAAGTAAGGACAGCTGATGGAAATGAGGGTATAAAAATGGGAATTACCTCCTGAGGTGGAAGAAAAACTTAAAGCACTTAATGAACTCCAATCAGGGCGGGGCAGATCAGTTCCTTCCCAGAATACTGAAAGAACTGGCGCACGAGATTGCTTGTCCGGTAGTAAGGATTCTTAATAAATCTTCCTATGTGGAGGGAGTACCACATGGTGGTACCACTGGAGAATCGCTAATGTCAGACCTATATTTAAGAAAGGGGAAAGAAATTAATTCAGGCAGTTACAAACCTGTTAGTCTGACCTCAGTAGTATCCAAGGCTTTGGGACAAATTGTAAAGGAAAAAATGATTAAAGATATGGAGGAAAACAGGAAAGGGGCTGGAATACATCATGGGTTTATCAAAGCTAGATCATGCCAGCTTAACCTGATTCCCTTCTTTGGGAAAATAGCTGATTTTTTAGCTAAGTGAAAGGCAGTAGATATAATATACTTGGCCTTCAGTAAAGCATTTGACTTGATGCCACGTGGGAAATTATTAGCTGAAGTGGAGAAGAGGGGGAGTAATACAAGAAATGTAAAGTGCATAAGAAACTGGCTAAAGGGGAGAAGGTAACAAGTTGCTCTGAAAGGTGAATTGTCAGACTAGAGGAGTTCCTCCAGAGTCAGTCTTGGGACCAATCCTATTCAATATTTTTATTAATGACATCGGCACAAAAAGTAGGAGTGTGCTACTGAAATGTATTGCCAATACAGAGCTGGGAGGCATTGTCAATACAGGGGAGGATCGGAATATTATGCAGGAAGATCTGGATGACCTTGAAGACTGGAGAGATAATGGTATGAAATTCAGCAGTACCAAGTGCAAGGTCTAATAGACTTAGGGTCTAATAATAAGAATTTCTGCTACAAGCTGCGGCTCATCGGTTGGAAACAACAGAGGAGGAGAGAGACCTGGGTGGATGAGTCGATCACAGGACAATTATGAGCCAGCAATGAGATGTGGCTGTGAAAAAGGCAGATGCGATCCTAGGATGTATCAGGCAAGGCATATTCAGTAGAGATGGAGAAGTATTAATGCCATTGAACAAGGCCCATGTAAGACCTCATTTGAAATACTGTGCACACTTCTGGTCATCCATGTTCAAGAAAGATGAATTCAAACTGGAACAGAGACAGAGACGAGCTACTAGCATGATCAGGGGAGTCCTATCTTATGAGAGGAGACTGAAAGAGCTTGGCATGTTTAGCGTAGCAAATTGAAGGCTGAAAGGGGATGTGATCACGCTATCAATACACGAGGGAGATAAATACCAGGGACGGTGAAGAACTATTGCACCCACAGGACATGGTGGCACAAGAACAAATGGGTATAAATGGGCCACGAACAAATTCAGGTTCTCTAACCATCGGAGAAGGGAGGTTCTGGAACAACCTCCCAATGGGAGTTGTGGGGGCAAACAACTTAATCAGTTCTGAGAGAGAGCTGGATACATTGGTGAGTGTGACTGTATGATGGATTTGCTTGAGATGGTGGGGGGTAGGGCCCAGCAGCCCTGGGGGATCCCTTCTGGTTTAGGACTTGGGTTCCTAACGCTCATGCTTCAGAGCTTTAGTTGGCCACTTGCAGGGGGTCAGGAAGGGATTCCCCCCCCCATGTATGGTGGGGGAAGAGGGGGTTGGTCTCCTTCCTCTGAAGCATCAGGGATGGCCACAGCTGGAGGTGGGACACTAGATGGGGAGGGCCAGGTCTCTGAGGTGGCACCAGGCATTCTCACTCTCCTGTGCGAGGCTGGCTGGGTCTTGCTCACATGCTCAGGATCTAACTGAGCCACCATATGTGGGGGTGGGAAAGAATTTTCATCCAGGCCAGATTGGCAGCGACCTGGGGTTTCTTTTTTTCACCTTCTTCCGTGGAGCGTGGTGGCTGGTCACTTGCTGGGATTACCGGGGCACATCTCCCTTAACCAATTCCCTGCCATCGCAGGGACCTCGGGCAGTGCCCGTCGCTCTGCCTATGTCTAGTCTCTGGTGGGCCATAATACTTTGGTCCAATCCCGGGCTTGGATTTAGTGTGTGGGCTGGTAGCTGGGTGGATGCTGGTGGTACACAGGAGATTCTGCTAGATGATCTGGTGCTCCCTTCTGGCCTTAAATTCTAGGACAAGATGGGCGACGGGCATTTCCGAATGGCTTCTGGCTTTCTTACAGCCCTGGCTCTCTCTTGGGTTGGTTTTTTTTTTTGCCTGCCTGCCAGTGCATGTCATTCAAATAAACTGCCCACTTCGAACGGCCATTCCTTGTTTCCACTTTTGGCCACCATTTGAAGGGCAAGAGGGCTGAGAGGGGAGATTAATGTCCGGGGCCCATAAACAACGTTTTTGCTGTTTTTTATTTTAAAAAGCCAGGAAAGAAAATAGCTACCTGCGCTCCTTTGTCCTTCCTCAGTGGGTTCCTCCTCTGGGCCGGGGCCGGCTGGCTCTCGAAGAGGGTCTGCATCCTCCACACTCCCTTCCTCAGCCAGTTCTTTGTCACTGGCCGCTGCTGGGTTTAATTCCTCCGGGTCTCACGAGGCAACCGCTGTCACTCGCGCGTGTGTGTTTGTGGGGTCCCCAGCAAGTGCGACCACGAGCTCCACACAGGAGCAGCAGGGCTGGAGGGTGCAGCCTCTGTTTTTTTGGGTGCCCTCCCTTGCTTTCTGGGAGGACTGCCCCCGTTCCTTCCCTTGCGCCAGGCATTGCCGCTCATTCCAGTCGTACCCCGGCTGCTGCATACCCTCGGCAGTGTCTGACTTTAAGTCTGTATTCCTGTGGTTATTACACAGCTGTTTGCACTGCCCCTTCCCCCGACAGGACGAGGAGAGCCAGGATTTCTTTCCTGGGCCAGACAGCTGTAGCTTTACGCGGCCCCTGGGCTAGCAGGGAGAAAGGCCTTTCAAAAACACGCAGGCAATTTTAACTGGTGTTCCCTGTGATCCAAGCAGTCATATCCAGCGCCCACCCCCGTCCCCATGGCCCTGTCATGGGGCCTGTGCCCAGCAT